AAAGACTCAATGATTTAATTCCACATTTCAGAGTCCAAGAGGGACTTAATTGCAAGTTAAATTACTTTCTTAGTAACTTCAAAAGAAGTTCGAATCAAAGAGATGTTTCTTTTCATCTTAGTTCAAATAAAGAAAAGTCGTATGTGGCCAGTGTCTTTAATAAGAAAAGAAATAATACTGAAGAGCACGATGTAGCAAGTTTATACATCAAGCCATTAACAGTTTAATTCCTCATCCAATGGCATCAGAACTCATTTCTAATATGCCGTTATTATGTTTTCCAGTAAAAATGTTTTGTTCGGAGCTATTTCTGCGTTAATGGCCATTTCGAGCAGGTATGACTTGGAAAACGGTCGAATATAATGAAACCGCAGAGAGTAAAGCCCAAAACAGGCTACTATCTTATTCTTTACTATCCAATTTAGAATTTATAGTGGTGATTCCGGCCTAAAAGAGGTCAGAATACTTGAAGATGCGACTTATTCAAGACACACAATCCGTTGTACTTTTTATATTCTACTGAATTAAAGTTGGAAGTTAATGCTTTGCCAGCTCGAAAAAATTTGAACCAAAAGGAGGAGGGCTTCGAGGCAAGAATTTTTTATTATAACCATTTTGTACCATATACCATAGGTAGGGGACCTGCAACCTTCAATCGTTTTCGCGTGATTAATCTAGCGCTAGAATTAAATAATATGTAATAACTAATTGGCCCGTGAGAATAATTCGCAGAAAATTTTGTTTAGTAAAAAAATAGCAAAACAATATGGAAATAAGTAGTTCGTATGTATTATGTAAGGAAGGAATTAATATTTTTTCCTTGGTCGATTTCAATATTCCATTAAACATAATAGACCAAAATATTTGTACAAATTGCTTTCCTAGGACCTATTTTTCAGACGCTGACTGGGAAGATATATAAAAATAATAAAGGCAAAATAATGCCCAGCTCATGGGATTTTCTAAATTATTAAAAAAAATCAAAATCAAAGAACAACCAAATGTCTTTAAGAAATAATAAAATTAATATATCAGCCAGTAAAAAAGGTGTAGTAGACTATTCTACTCCTAAATGCAATATCTTTAAAGAGGAAGGCACTATTAAGTATACCAAAACTAATGGACTGTATCTTTGTGAATAATTGTTCGATTTATATGATTTTTAGTAATCTTTGTAATTTAGTAATCTTTCTAATTATCATCACAATCTAGAAAAAATAATAAAATGCATATGTTTTGAGTTATTCGCAAATAAAATTTCTTTTTCTCTATAATTTTTTTTCCAGAAATTTCGGTGGGATGGGACTATTTTTCATCTGAGAAGGAGCAGAATATCTTCAAAATGAGTGGTCAATCATTGTATTTGATGAACAATTGACGAAGTTATGGCGTAGCGACAAAAAAAACACATTTTAGAAATAATTTATAGGATCAAAGATAAGAATATTGATAGAATTGAGTTGAATATAAGTACATGGGTATATGCATTACTATACATATTACATTAGTGTGACGAAGAAAATAAGCAAAGTAAAATATAAAGAATTATTGCGGCCTCGATTGGCACTGCCTAATCTTACTTCAACGCCTAATGATAAAAAGGCCCCTATTCCATATACCATATTATTTAGACTTTTTCAAATTTAGAAGAGAGGGGGGAGCTAGTTTGTCTTCTCTCTTCTCTCCCCGGGCTACCCACATTGTTTAGTAAGAAACTAGTTTAGTGACATCCATTAACTAAAGACTTCATGAATTGATTTGCTTAATTAAATATTCAAACAGACAAGTCGTCAAACAAACTTGATAAAAGCAATTCCTCTAAATAGTAAACAATCGATGTAACCTTTCCAAATGGATAATGAATTCATAATTAATTAAAAAAAACTAAGTTGTGTGTTTAGATCTACATGATAGAATTGAAAAGAGCAACTAGGCGAGATTAATATTATGAAATAATAATAATAATAATAATAAGGCTTAGCGAACCCGAAGGTTCGATGCCGACACCACCAATCGCTTGTTACACACCTCCCTCCACCGTTCGCCGTCCAAACCCAGTCCCTTCAGATCGGCTTTAATGCAATCTTCCCACCTTCGCTTCGGTCTACCCCTCGGACGCTTACCATTCGGCACAGCAAATATTAACCTTTTAGGAATTCTCTCGTTACTAAGCCCAACAACTTTACAAGCCCATTTGATTCGCCGCGATGAAATTACCTCAATTATATTACCCGGATACAGCTCACGCAATTCGGCGTTGTGTAACCGTCTGAACTCTCCGGTTAACTCATCCTTCTTCGGTCCGAATATTCTACGCAATACTTTATTTTCAAAAACCTTAAGACGCTGCTCATCCCTTAATGTAAGCGGCCAAGTTTCGCATCCATAAAGAACTGTAGGCAAGATAATTGTTTTATAGATTCTAATTTTTAAGTTTCGGGACAAGAGGCGCGAACTAAGTAGTTTTGTCACAGAAAAATAACAAGCATTCCCCGCCTTCAGTCTAACCTTAATCTCTTCTTCAATTTCGTTTTTTCTAGTTATCGTAGAACCTAGATACCTAAATTTATCTACCTGTTCAAACATATTACCATCTATATCGATATCACCAGTAGTATCGCCATTTTTGCAGCTAACCATATATTTTGTTTTATCCACGTTTATTTCGAGTCCTAGTTCTTTACCGGCTTTCATTAACGTTGTCGTATTTAGTTTTATAGTTTCAACGTCTTCGCTTAACAGTACCAGATCATCAGCATAGCCCAGCACGGATGTTGTCCCGCCCAGATCCAACCCTTTCTCGGTTCGCATTACCTCCCTAATGGCATGTTCTAATGCCAAATTGAACAGGACAGGCGAAAGAGAATCCCCCTGTTTTAAGCCCGAACGAACCTCAAATTTTTCGGACAAATTATTACCGATTCTAACTTTATTGAGTGTCTCCGTCAAGCACATCCTGACTAGATTTACTAGTTTTTTTGGAATCCCCTGCTCGATTAGAATATTATACAGTTTCTGGCGGTCAATAGAATCGTAAGCCTTTTTAAAATCTATATACAGCTGGTGAACAATACCGTTATACTCCAATTTTTTCTCTAATATTTGCCGTAAAGAAAATATTTGATCAATAGTCGAACGATTCCGTCTAAATCCGCATTGGTAGTCTCCGATAATTTCCTCGGCGTATTCCGTGATTCGACTGGTTAAGATTAAAGTGAATATTTTATAACATACCGGAAGGAGTGAAATTCCTCGATAGTTATTACAATCCGTCCTCGGACCCTTTTTGTGAATCGGAATAAGAATAGATTCTTTCCATTCTTCAGGTAATTTAAATATTATGAAATATAAATCATAAATAATAGCTGGTTATAAAGAGGGTGAAATTCTGAACGACTTCCTCGCTTACAGTATGCAGGTTCGATTTTTAGTTTTTTTGAGTTATTTTAATCCATATGCAAAAACACTTAAATTTCTCGATTCCAGCCCACTTTACCCGAGCGTTACACATCGGAGATCTGACGGCTCAATCTAATTTACTCTCCAATAAAAAAGTGCAAAACGCGTCTAAAGAAGTTTTCACTTCAAAAAGTGTAAATATGAACTAGAGATAATTAAGTGGCTTCAGTAATTATATCCATACCGATGTGAAGCACGAGCAAGATCGGTAAACACTTGAACGACCATCCGGTAATAAATGGAGTATATCAGGTAGGTGACCAATGGTCACTGACCACGCACCTCCCCGTCAGGCAAGAAAGGGCAAGTTTCTAAACTCAGCGCTAATTCTATCGAAGGAATATATTAATCCATTGAATCTGTCATCGATGGACAGCTATTCATGCTGAATTCAGAAATGACCAGCTGAAATTTTATTTTTAAAGTTAAAAAAAAACCTGAAAGGCCCCAAAACACACAAAAAATATAATGGAAATATTTATCTAGTGAATTATGGAGTTTCAAAACAGAAATAACCATAGATAAAAAGAAAACTGAAGTTGAAAATGTGAAGTAAATCAAGATATTCCAACAATGAGATTACAGTAAGGTTGCATAAAAAAATCAAATGAACCGCTGAGCTATCGCTGAATTCCATTTATGATGAGTTTAGAAACATCTGACGGATGATTCAAGGTATTTAGTTTAAAGTATTTCGTCTATTTACCAAGGCATTCGTCAATAACTGGTCTGTCGAGGATAGATCTTAACAGAAAAACATAAGTGACGTTGTTTTTCTTGATCTATTTTTTCCTCTGGTGCTTCCAATCGTGAAATATAGGTCATCTGCCGGACTAATAATCAGTGAGGAGTCAATGGTAGAAAATAAAATAAATATAGTAAAAAATAATAACACGGAATGCAACCTTAAAGATTCAAAACTATTCTTGTAGAAAGATAAGACTTAGCGGACTTTTTATTTTATCCATAATTTTTTTTTTTTAACAAGAATCTATAATTCAACTCTTTAGATTTCAATATAATTTGAAAATAGTTGTTTCCTCGGAAAATTATAATAAATTTTATCTGCATAGAATAGAGAACCATTATAATTTATTTTTTCAGCCTAAATTCAAAAACTTTATAAATTTAAAAGCATTACTATATATCAACATAATAAAATCAAGTTTCGTAATGATATTTATCTCTACACAACACATTATCGTTATATTTACAGAAATCACATCGACATATGATCTTAGTTTACTAATATTTTTAACTCCAATCAGAAGTTTTATTATTATTATTATTTATTTATATTACAAATGCTTCTACTCTCTATATATTTAAAATTTGGATAGAGTAGTTAGAGGCTTGGTTTGGCTACATAAGATGTCAGATTTTAGGTTTTTTAACCTGAATAAATTTTTAAAAGCAGTTTCAGAGCCAGATGGTTTACAAATTTATTAATACAGATGTTTTAAAGATTACTAAATTGTTCATATGGAGCTGTGTTTTTCTAATATCTTATAGTTGAAGATTGTATCCCGCCGAATCCGAACATGTCAGGATACACAGAAGTCTCTACACTAAACGCTAAACTCAAAGCGGTTACAGAAAACGTATCAGAGACCCTGCACATCGCATGTAATGGACCTTCCAATGCACTATACCGGATACAAGAAGATGTAAGAAGGAAAGTCCCCTTGTTGGTAAAGACTAAGGAAGAAGCCAGAAAACAACATCATGAACTATTAGGAAAATACTACGACCTGGAATATGCCATCGGTGCTCTCTCGTCCATGAACGAATCTGAAGCCATATTTAAAAGAATAAAAGAACAGTTAAAAAATATATATATTACTAAGTCTATGACTAACGAAAAACAAATGGTTTGTAATTAAGAATATTTTAATATTATATGTAATTATTAAATATTTAAAATATATCATGGTTTAAATTTTGAATATTATTGCCTAGGATTCCACCTGGACAAATGTCTAACTTGGAATCATCATAACAGACTAAAATGACAAGAAACAGCTCGACGTTTCCGACTACTTCAACACTTACTTGACAAACGCTCTAACCTTCCAATTAATTACAAAAGACTCATTTACATGACTATAATAAGGCCTATTTGGACTTACGGAGTTGAGCCATCAAACTCCTCTCGTATCCAATCCTTACAATCCAAAATCCTTCGTAAAATGCTCAATGTTCCTTACTTTGTTACAAATAAAATATCCATAATGATGTTCCTTATGTATCAGATTTGGCTCAATCCAGATATCTGTCCTTCCATAATAAACTTCATAACCATCCCAAGCGTCGTTTTTTCTAACCTTGATTTCCTATTCAATTCCTGATAAACCTCCGAGGCGTCTGAAAAGAAGATGGCCACGTGATCTCCTAATATAGACATATTATTACAGTGATACCAACGGGTAGTTTCTCAACATGTGTTTCATGTCATTATATCCATGTGCGAATTTACTAGATGTATTTTTTTTTTTTATACAGTTGTAAATATCATATAAATAAAAAAAAAAAAAAAATATTATTGGTTAATGGTACTCCACTAATATTTTATTATGGTCCAGTATTAGTGTATGTAATAATGAAATCAGGTAGTTAGGGATATATTCAACCCATCACTAATGCAATCTATCATCTTAAAGCTCAAGATCTGCTACTTCGAAATATAATAAAGTTGTTTAAAAAAATTGTCCTCTCGCAGAATGCTAAAAGGAACAACGCAAATCATAACTCACATACATGATAAATATATTCTAACGAATAGGAAGTCCCGATTTGAATAATGGAGTCATCATATTGAAAAGTCTACAAGCGGAGGAACATTACAACTCGAACACATACACGGTCCCTCGTTTTTTTTTTTTATTCTCAAAACTTTCTTAACATATAATGACTTTAAATCATTTCGAAATAAATTTATACATGAGTATTATGAAAGGGACAAGACTTGTCGTGGCTTGGTTCAACAGCAATCCTTCATTATAGAAATGTCATACAAGGGACTGTTTACAATTACAATGCTCTGTTACAAAACGCGGTCACTTATTCGTAATATTTTACATATATTTACATCTCGAGTGACATTTCGCTCCCAAAAGGTTAGAACCAAAATAATCGCCCTTCTACCAAAGGACTTCCTGATATAATCACGTCATTATAAAACGTTATTTAATTTAATTTATGGTTAAAGGTGTAATAATTCATACTATAATAACAAGGCTTTAATAAAGGTAATACGATTAATATCTACTTAGATCATGATTTTTTTAATTTTGTTAGATTGAAATGAAACTAAATGAACCACATCAGATTTACCTCGAGGGAAACAGTAATGCAATGCATTTCTTATTATTTCTATAGATCTTTTTTTTTATTTAAAAAAACGAGATTTGGAATATAAATAGATTTTTAAAACATACTTAATTTCAAAATTTATTATGAAGGAAAAACGAAAATAAGAAGACTTTTGTGAATTCATTAACCAAGATATTGAGGAAGCCAATTAATTTAACAGCGAAGAAAATAACTTCACAACGCAATAGGGTTTAAAATGTGAGGTATGATTCTGGCAGGATTGAATGAAACTGAAGGAAAGCAAAACAATTTCATAGCAGTACTTGATAGGAAAATATATATAAAAACGAATTTTGTTTTTTATTTATATTTGATTACAAACTTTATGTACTGCATATATAGAAATTCTAAAAACAAAATTACATTTCTAAAATCACTAAATAATAGTTGTACATACAAATATTGTTATTTTTTTTTTAAATTGCTTAAGTGCAATTTGAGTTATTAAAATTTTTTTTTAACTTTTTATAATTTTAATATTTCTTTTTCCCATTAAAGAGGCAAAAAATCCTTAATTGATATTTTCTGATTTTAATGAAAAAAGATTAAAACATTAATTCAGACCATTTTGGGTTTAAATATTGATAAAATAATTTAAAACATCAGAAACAAAAAATGTATAACGTATTATTAATAATACAACGTAATTTTTCTATTCGACAAAATGGAAAAAATGGTTTCAAAGAATTTTTCCACAACTATAGTATTAAAATTTAAAAATAAAAAGTGGATTAATTATTTATATATTTATATGAAAGCTAGATAAAAATCTTATAATTTTATTAAATAAAATAGTATTATTACTTTAATATAAATAATATAGTAATTATTATTTTGAATAATAATTTCAATGAATTAATTGATATTCAGCAATATTTAAACCCAAGTATTCAAAAATTACCCAATAATAGTATGATTAATATTAAAAAACAAATTTTTTTTTTTTTTTTTTTGTATTCGCCTCTACCCTAGAGGGTCATTTTCTCAATTTTTATATTTTACTATAGTAATTTGTTTCCAATAAATATTGAAAGAGAATGACGATATTTTCTTCCTTGTCTCCCAAAATATCTTTCAATGTTGTCGATAACTTTAATTGTTGTCTCTTTTTTTTATATGGGGGGCACTCTAATAGTAGATGTTTAACTGTTTGAGGTTTATTGTCACAGTTTTCGCAGGTTGGCGCTTCGAGTCCTCTAAGTAGGTATCCATGTGTGAAAAGACAGCAAACAAATACTATATGTGTCGAAAATATGATTTATTTTCCCCCGTGATACTTAAGAGCAATTTAGGCTTCCGTCATTAAATTATTCACTTGATGTTTTTGAAGTGAAAACTTCTTTAGGCCCGTTTTGCACTTTGTTGTGGAGAATGAATCAGATTGATCCGTCAGATTTCGTTCGGTGTTAACGCTCGGATAAAGTCGGCTGGAGTCGAGTAATTAAAATCTTTTCACATAAGTATTAAAATATCTCAGACACTAAAGAACTGAATACTGTAAGCTAGTAAATTGTTCAGCATTTCATCCCCTCTGTAATAGGCTATAATTCAAAATTGTATCTCAACGCAACGCCGTGTTAGGGAGACGAAAAGGAAAAAATAATGTCGAAAACCAAATGATAATGAGTTTAGTTGAGCATATGAAATAAAATATTTCAGATTGTTTCTAAAGATGTGGTACTGTAATCATGAAACGAGACATAATTAGTAGAATAGAATAACAAAAAAATTGAAGTATTGCATTATAAAAAAATTTTCAAAATATATTATTATAATTAAAACTAATATTATAAAAATAGGGCCTATATTGTTTTCAAAATAAATAAGGTAGTAATCCTAAGAATTAGGAAATTATAAAATATGATATCCTTCACTATCATGTTATTATTTTTTTTTTTTTATAACAGGCCAGTACAAAGGATAAAGCAGAGATCCATCATTAAAGCTATTATCAAAGCAACATGAGGCCATAAAGCAGACACTAATTTCAGACTTTATTAGAGAACTTTTTTAGTTCGGACGATATCATTATGAAGGAGCCCTTTAGAAAACATGTTTACATTAGGGCTGTACTCAATATGGTCTGCACTGGTCTCCCTCAATAGCGAGTTATGGCCCTTGGTGTACTCTGATAGTGGACAAAGGCAAAATATAGAAGCAAAGTTAATCCCATTCCCTAGCTCAGTTTTAAACTTCCCCTAATGCTATAATGCTATTCCTATATTTAAATCTACCAAATCCAATCCCCATTAATGTCGTATAGTCATGGTATGTTCTAACTGCAATTGTAATAGCTTTTATTATTTTTTTTTTTAATAACATAATTAATGAAGTTTAAAAAAGTTTTCAAAAACATAATTATGAAAATTGTAGTAAAAGTTAAAAAAAAAAAAATCGTCTCTTCATGACGAACAATTACGAAGTACATTGTTTATGAAATTAAAATTTGTATCATTACATTTTTGTATATGTCAACCTTATTAATCGATGAAATATTACAAAAAGTGCATCAAAACGACAAAATCCCTTCGTTTATATCAAATTTAGTTAAACCAAAATTTTATGATTTCAAAGAGGGAAAATTCACTATTTTTTTTTTTTGTAATAAACCTAGGATATACCAAAATGATAATTTGGTGTATTTTAAAATTTAATGTCATTTATGACCATCCTAACCCTCTCGTTTCTAACCTTGCTTCCTGACAACCCTCCGAGGCGTCTGAAAAGAAGATGTCCTCGAGATCTTCTTTTGTAAATACATTTTTAGAGTGCTACCAGTGGGTAGTTTCTCAACAAGTGATTTCATGTTGCTATAATCTTTTGTTCACATTTACTGAATGTATTTTTACTTGTAATAGAGTTGTAAATATCATCAATAAAAAAAATAAAAAAAAATGTCTTTTATAGCATATCAAAACTAACATTATCAAAATCAAGCGTACGTAAAAGAGATACAATTATTTTTTTAAATTAATCATTTAAGCCATTTAAAACTAAAATTATTTATTCCAGTTTTCCTTGATAATCCACAGATTCCATAGACACCGTTCACTACCTTGGTCTGACATTTGACCGAAAAATTACGTGGGGTCCCACATTTAACAAAACAGAGAAAAACGCTATATCAAGGAGTAAGAATTCTAAAATCACTTCTTTGGAAAACTTCAAAACTAAACTTAGACATAAATTTAACACATACAATTACTTGATAAAACCTATTTGAACTTACGCATCACAGATATTTGGAACAGAAAAAAAAGACTCACATTAACGAACTTCAAATCTTTCAAGCATAAACATTCAGGACAATTACAAAAGCATCCTAGGTACGTTAGCAACATAACCTTATATATTGATCTCGATATGCCGACTGTTAACGAACTCATTACAAACGACTCCAGGACAGCTTACAAGGACATCCTAACACACTCATAAATGACATGGCCACTAGGCAAATGCCAGGTAGAACGTCTGTTGGAAGCTGAAGAGGAGCTGGATGAGGGACCTCCTCGATTAATGTAGATATCACGCCAGGAGGAGGTGCCGTTGGGTACAGCTTCCCCCTCCCCCCTCTGATTGTCATCACCATTATGACAGGTGTGCATAAAAAAAATTAAAGTTAAAAAACAATGTATTCCAGTGAACCTTAGTTTATTAGTTTTTACGCTAATGAACTTTAATTTTTAAATAAAAACAACCGACCAATGCTTGGAATTTCATCAAATTTGGCACTCTATTTCAGTGTAATATAAAAACTGAAATTGTTTTTTAAAAAAATAAAATAAATTGAAAAACTATGTTTTAGAAATATTTTTAGGCCTAACATTAAAACTTGTAGAAAAAACATTTTCTTTTTTTTATAACAATACCATCAATGAGAATAGTGTCCTGTTTCATGTTGCTGCGACGGTTATCTGACATTTCTTAGACTCAGCCACAGTTAAGATACAACAGTTCCAAATATCTTTCATAAAATGATATTTTAAAAAACAGTAATCCAAAAAGAAGTCTAAAATTAAAAAATAAAAAATAACTCTAGTATTAGTAGACAGATATTGTACGAATGTCTACTTATCTTTAGCAGTAATACCAATTGACCTTGGGTGTGACTGAATGTATGATTATTGAAAATTTAAAAAAAAAAATCAATTTACACAGTAGACAGACAAAACTTTTTATCGATATAAAACTTTTAATTTGATTTTTGTTTGTAAGTTATTTATCAAATTTTATTATTTGGAGATATCCCATTTTGCTTGTAGATGCCTCAAGTTCTTTGTAATGAACTATATAAGAACAAATGAGATTTTAAATTAAGTATTGCTGAGTTTAATTAGTAATGTATTAATATAATTATTTTAAAAAGTGGAGCATTAAAATATGCTGATGCTAATGTATTATAAAATTAATTTATGATAAAAACCGGTAATCTTCATAGAGATTATTTTATAATTAATGGAAACCATTTCGGAACTTAATCACGATATAAATATTTTTCAATGCCACCAATCTAATTAATTATTTCAGACCATCATTCTTGAGATTTCTAGATACCATAAATTCTAATTATTGAATCGAACTTGGCTATCTAAAGTTGAGATGATCTTGATGGCACTCATAAATTTGAGGATCTTTTGCGAATCTCAAGGGGAATCTCTTGAAAATCCTCTTACCACATTTAACAACCTACACCGTTAGTGAAGACTTGTTTCCTGGCATTTGTTGTCTAAATTGAGATTAGAAAAAAAAATGTTTTTAATAAATTAAATCTTTTTAAATTGCAGATATATCTATACAATTAGAGGAAGGAGAGATCAAGAGAAGAGCAAATAAGGCGGAAGAGACAGAATCAGCGACAAGCACGAAGAAACTTTGTCATCAGTAATCCCAGCGCATTACTGCCAAAGAAAAGAAGAGGCAGTCTCAACAGTAATCCACCGGATTTTTTTTCAAAGGGGAGAAGAAGAAAAGAAGGGACTTTTTCACATTAAGCCCCGAGGCTATTCGGCAACCTCACTCCACAATGTTAAATAGAAATATCTATTAATTTTTAGAGCATACTTACAGAATTCACTGATACCTATACCCGTACAAAATGGCAGGAAAATTATTGTCATGAGTTATAGGATTTCGGTCCAGACCTCATTAATGTAAAATAATGATACTATAAAAACGTATATTAAGCTTTTTTTCAAGTTAGATTCTGGCAATGATACGTTTCCGAATTTTTAAGCGAAGAAATTTGTTATAAAAGACGATCTTAAATAGTTTTAAATATATAAAAATATGTCTAGCTCTGTTACCAACTAGACTGTCACTAAATAGCCTGATCCGAAAATTTCGAGGATTGGCCATACCAAAATATAAACAAGCGAAAACGTATTTAAGGGAGGAGATGTTCTATAGTACCATAGATGGCGTGTAATTTTATGATTTTTTCTTCGTTACTATAACACTAAATACACCTAAAATCTTTAATCACGCGATTTGGTCTTCTTACAGAGGTATACTGCATATCGGTTTAAATCCATGAACCTAAGACTCCAGCTGGACAAACGTCTCACTTGGAATCCTCTGAAACGAAACTGAAACGACAGGAAACTGCTCGACGTTTCGGCTTACTCCAACACTTACTGGACAAACGCTCTAAACTTCCAATTAATTACAAACGACTCATATACATGACTATAAGAAGACCTATTTGGACTTATGGAGTTGAGCTATGGGGCTCCACTAAACCATCAAATTCCTCTCGTATTTTTTGGTTATTCTACCTAAAATTTTTAGTCTATACCTTCCACCTTGTTAATTTTAATTCTTTATTATTCAATGATTATAGTTTCTCATACCTATTGTTATCTGGGTTTTTTCTTAGCCCTAATGAAGGCCTGAACTTTGGGTCGAAACGTAGGCAAAAAATAAATACGATTATTTATTTTTGTTTACTGATAACCCCAACCATTATTCTCTTTAATTATTCACTACACTCAACCATCAATCCGCAATTATAGATAAGTAAATTTTAAAAAAAAAAACCTATATACCACAACACCTATATAAACTATTTATAATCAAGCGATGGAACTCAACAATGGAGGGAAAAGCAATACTTCAGAAGATCCCTGAGCTACTTTCCGCGTCACTGGTATTTTATGATAAAAACATGAAGCTTTTTGGCATATACGAAGTATCATTTCTCAATCATCTATATGATATGATATCTTCGCTCTTCATTTGTGCAATCTTGTTTTATTTTAATGGTTGGTCCCCTGTCAAAGCAAATATATATCCTAACTAAAATAAGAAATATTTTCTTGATAAATCTGATATTTTTTTATTTTTTATTTTTTACATTTTACTACCTTCGATAAACCGAATATACAAGGCAGATACTATTTTTATTTATTTTTCAAAAACGCCATAAAATTTTAAAATGGAGATAGGAAGGAATCAATAATTGAATAACTGAGAGAGAGGAGCCGTTTATCGGTTGCATTGCCCCGCAAACTGCCGTAGATGTGTGCACCGTCGGCAGATAATGACCCCATAATAATAAAGATGAAAAATATTCCTTACTTTACAGCGCTCCCTAATAGCTTATCGGGTCGCATTCTGTACAACACAACAGGACAACTATTTCAAACCAGTAACTGTTTAAAAATGCAATAGTGTAGCTTGTAGTTCTACCTATTCAATTTTATAACATCTCTAAGCCTTGTAAAATCAATAGACATTTTGTATTACAATAGCTTTAAATTGAAATAAAATGTCCCTAACTAGTCCGAAGTTGAGTAAAGTTATATTCAAATTGTAGTTTTAGGTAATTAAATTACCTATATGAAATTATGAGGAGTGATCGGGGCGTGTGGCCACATAAATACTAAATTATGGAGATAGTATTATTTAATTATTATGCCAACGTTTCGACCCACCTTGCAGGTCTTCATCAGGGCTAAAAAAGATACAAAATAAATGAATTATAAATAGATATTAAATAAGAAAAAGTTGTCTGACAAAGAAATAATGTAACTCACTATATCTCTGATATCATCTTATTATTTCTATATCAGGCAACTTTTTCTTATTTAATATCTACTTATAATTCATTTATTTTATTTTCACCATGTACTTTTTTATATTTTGTATTTGTTGTATTCCTGATGAATACCTGCAAGGTTGGTCGAAACGTCGGCATAATGATTAACTAATACTATTTCTATATTTCAGTATTTATTTGACCGCACCCTCCGATTATATTATATCACCCCGCACCTTCTCATATTATATCACGGTCAACTATCTATACATCATCTATATGAAATTATATTATCTAAGTTACTTAAACTGCAATTAATTTTCATAGAATATTGGTCAGTGAGCAAAGAGCATTAAAATATGGAAAAAAATCCCAGACAATTTTTTTGTAATGGCACTTGCAAGTTAATGGCACTTAAATAATAGTATATAAACAAATAAAATAAAATCTTCTCAACTATACTTATAATTGTACTAGAAAAAATAACAAAAAGAAAAGGAAAAAAAACATTACATGTTCAGAAGGAAAAAGCAAAATCAACAGAAAAGAAAAAATATCAAAAGTACGTAAATAAAAAGTATTGACTTGTTACGTTAAAACCCAAACAGCTAAAACTTAAAAAATATATACATAGATTAAAGATATATTAATGACAGGATGAGCAACGGGATCACGAAATTGCATTATCCAGGCATACGAGATATAAAATAACAATAAATAGGTAAATACAATTTAGTACGTACCAATACAATGTTAGTACGTAGTAGTAACATTTTTAAAAAGTTTAAATTAAATTTCCAACAGAAATATGAAATAATTCGTCTCGATCGCACTAGTTTTAACAACATGTACTGAATTTAATAAACTGGTTTTAATAATTTTTCATTTGCTCGTTTACCTTTCTTGACAATGTCTTTAATGTATTTTAAAGTAATTTTCTTAAAGTATTTTTATTATTTTGGTTGGAATTTACTATGTTTATGTCAATAAAACATCTGATGAACCGATTGTACAAAACATACAATATACCGATTCCGTAGCATTTTTTAAAAAATCTAAAATAACATGTTTAATAAATAGCTATGAGCTAATAGGTAACTGCAAGACTATGACTGAGTGCCCATTTGGGGAACACTTCCCGTAGGTTAAAACGGCACTGCCTCCGCGACCTTTTGTAATATGTATCTAGTGGAGTTCCGGCACCGGCTAGATTCTCCAATCAAGTCATGTATTTTTGTGGCTGTTGCGCTCTAAATCAACTTCCACTGGCTTTTAATGCCAATGGGTTGAGGGAGAAGAGCTGGAATTTCCTGGAGACTCGTTTTTCCCTCCATAAGTGAGATTACGAGACTGACTCAGAGTTCCTCTAGCTAATTGTAAATAGTGCATATAAGTACATTTTATTTTATTTTCTAATTAATTTATTTATTTTTGTGTGTGTTTTTTTTTCTCTATGTGCTACTTTACTTTCTTCTTATTTCTATGTACGATATTGCTATTACTTGATTTATTTATTTATGTTTCTCGAAACAGATGGTAATATTTCTCAATGAACCAGATAAAATAAATAAATTTTAAAAAAATTATATTTTCTGTAATTATGGTGTGAATGGTGCTCTCTGACCTCTATTGTAAATGCCCTTATTTGAGACTGAACGTAATATTAAACAAATTTTAAAAAATTGGAAAAATTTAATGCACTTGTGTTATGAGAGGAAAGGACTTATTTTTTTCAAAATAATAGACCAAAACGTGTTCAAACTAAAATTGGCTGCATCTTTGATAATAATGGACCAATTTGTAATTTCTATTTTTATTTTGTAGGGAATTTAGGAACTGTTTAAATTATCATTGATATAATCAACCATGAATAGTATACTTTCTGAGTTATGAGAAATAGTTTTATTTTCCTGGCATTTAGTGAAATGTCCTAAGAGCCGAAAGAATTAACAGCAATTTTTGAAATTTTTAAAAACCTAAACAAACATAATAAGTTCTCCGTGGCAACCGCGATACCTAGGAAACTTTCAAAAGGATTAACAGTTAATCTCGAACACAGTACATTTTTGGGTAAAACGCAGAGCTAAGTACGTTCGGAAAAAATCTAAGGTCTATATTACAGTAGATATATCATATTATTATTAATAATAATTCAAGGGAATCGAAGTCTAATTACATTTCTTATTTGTATTTTTGCGTGTTAGTGTTTAGTAAATTTAAATAATAATTATCAAATTAGAACCGTCTATTAAAAAAAATTATTATGAGCATTTGTACTTCATTTAGTAAATATGGATTTTATTATATACAAAATACAAGTTACGTAATTGAAACAAAAAAATATAATTAAACAATAAGCTTTGTCTCGAAAATCTAATACATTTCTGTCAATAAATTTAAACAGACTAGCAATTTCATCGGAATTTACTGAACGTGATAAGATATAAGTTTTCCTAGCTTATAGAGTGTTGACTTCGCCAAATTGTATTTTCACTGTATATATTGAAAGTTTAATAGATTTAATAGTTTCGTATTACTATAGGGACACTTCATTTGCATTTAATATATAAAAATGAACTTATTTATTTTTCCATCGGAGTTAATTATAAATCATCTACTTCAGAAAAAAAAAGCTTAAAAATCAACAGGAGAACTAGTCATATACTCTTTAATTAAACTTTACAAAAAAATTAATTAAAAAAATAACTGAAAACTTTTCCTTTCATTATACAGAAATATAAAAATTGTCTGTAATCTCTATCTTGAATGATAAACTTTTAAATTAATAAATAAACTGTGAAACTTCGTTTGAAAAATTTGTTAAGAACGGTTATACGATCTAGTTCTTA